TCGATTATAATATAGATTGGATAAAAAGTAATTATTAATTTATTGGAACTTATTTAAAAAATTATTTAAAAATTTAATCTATCATATCTATTTGAGGAAAAAAAATTAATTTTTTCATTTTCAATTTTTTTTTATGAATGTCATATTCATTCATAAAAAATGATTTTTTAAAAAATGTTTTTTTCTCTCCTCTTTATCTTCTTTCTCAATCTCTTATCCCTATTTCATCCACATAATCCGTATATCTTAAATTTAATAGTGTTTTGTGATTATATTGTCCACAAATTCAACTTTGGTGGTTGTTTATCCTCCAACAGTGAGATTTTATATGATTTTGGAATGAAAAAAATTAAAAAATTAGTTATTAAAAATTGTGTTACTTTTGGGTTTTTTTTTTTATCAAAATTCAAATTTTATAATACCTCCAATCTTTATCAGAAGATGGAATTTAAAAGGAGATGGTGGTTTTTTTTTATATAAAAAATTTGACAATTTCTTCAAAATATTAATTTATTTTTTTAAATTTTAATTAAAGATTATGAGAATATGTGATTTTTGTTGTTGAATAATAAGAAAAGAATTTAATAAATAAATGATCTTTCTCTCGAATTTGATTCTTTTAAAGTAAACTCATAATTATTGATCATAAAATTAAAATTAAGATTTGTGATAAATCCAATTCCTATGAAATAAAATCTAAAATTAATTATAATATTAATATATGACTTTTAATTAATCGTTATTATTACATTTTATTATTTAAAGTGTAATTCTTTCACTTTAGAGAAGTTCGATTCCTCTCTCTCTCACGTATTAAACTTTTTTAATTACTTATTGATATTGATGCATAAAAAATTCGAGAAATAAATTTTCATCTCTTATAAAAATTTAATGATAAGTAAGAAGGTTAAAATTGGTACATCAATAATTTTATTTTATAAATTCAATAAAATTCACTAAGATAACTATTTATATTAGGATGCATAATTAAAGTGTATGGAGTCCTTTTAAATTTTATAAATCCATAAAGTCATTTTAAATTTTATAAATTTTTTATAATACAAATTTATTAAAATCTTAATAAAGAATCTTGATTATAAAAGTTTTTTAAAAAAACTTATAATCAATCCAATACATTTTCCTTCTTGCAATTCAATAGATTTTTAAAAAATAGTATATCGATCACTAAACGTCCATGAAAATAAACCGATGGATTAAATCTAATTCATCATTATAGTAGATTTTAAATATATTTTTAGTTCATGTAAAATTAATTTTTTATTTTAGTCCCCGTAAAAAAATCTATTTTTCTTCCTTATTAAATTTAGAATTATTATTTTTAGTTCTTGAAAAATGAACAAATTTTGATTTAAGTCCCTATAAAATATTTTTCTTTAATTTTCATGTTTAAAATCTAAAGTAGTTAGTTTTTATCCATAATTTTCATTTTGAGGTAGAAAAATAACATTTGCTTTAAAGACCTGTAAAAAATAATTTTAGAAGTGTCACATTCTAATATGATATTAAGAAAGTTGTGAGTGTGATATAAAATGATCACTTAATCTTATGATAAGTACATAAATAATTAATAACAAGAATCACATAGTAATAGGGTCTAAAATAATAATTCAAAAATTTAGAGGGATGGGAAACAAATAATTTTTTTAGCTAGAGATCAAAATTAAAGCTTGTTCTTATTATATTTATGTAATTGATGGTTTGAATAAATTTACTTGTGGATGGATTGAATAAATAATGGATAAATGAATTGTTTTGTCACCTCTAATTCCTTATTTTTTCAATAATAATTATATAGCAGGGTTCAAATGACACTGGTGTAACTTTTACTAAGTATTACACCGCTTAATAACTTTATATTAAATGTGAATTTTGAAAATTCAACCGTTAGATTGAAAGTTCATATCTCTTAGATCATATATATCAAATTTTGTTAAAATCGAACAACAACTTGAAGGTAATCAAAGTGTTCATATTTTAGTATATTTTGAAATGTATATATTACGTCAATTTTGTGTTATGAGTTGAGAATGAAGTATCAAATCATCTTATATTAATATAAAATTTGATATATATGATCTAAGATATATGAACTTTCAATCTAACGATCGGATTTTCAAAATTCACATTTAATATAAAGTTATTGAGCGGTGTAACACTTAGTAAAAGTTACACCGGTGTCGTTTGAACCCTCCTCATAATTATATATATAAATTAAAATAACTATTTTGTTTCAAAGTGTTTTAAGAGATCATTTCTAAGAGTCGAGTCTTAGAAATAATTTTAGAAATTTTTTGTTGATCTATCCCTTTTATCTTAAGCATAATATTATACTACAATATAAATGTTCATCAATTTTCATGAATAAATTTAAAATATAACTTGTATTTTAACATGTGTTATGCATAAAATACATGTTTATTTTCTATTATTAAATTCATAATAAATAAATAATTTTAGATATAAAAATTGTGTTATAATTCAAATTTGTAAACAAAGTAAATATTTTAACATTAAATATATTTTAAATTTATGATAAAAAAAATTATATTGCAATGCAATTTTTAATTATTGATATTTTTAAATATTAAAATTTAATATAGAAATAGAAATAAAAATAATAGATAAAAAGAGATATGAGGTCAAAAATATTCTTAAAAAATATTTTTATCTCAATAGAGTTATTCTAGTTTATACATAAAGAGAATTTATATATTTTAAAATATTTATTTATTGTTGTAACATTGTATTTTTAGTTTTATTAATTAATTATATGATTTACGTGATTAATTGATAAGATTGTTGTAATTGCTCTTATTTTAGAGTTTTAAGACTTAAGGGATCCTCGAGAATTAAGTTGTTTTTGAGGTAGTATTAGCTAAGGTCAAGTTAACCTAACTTAAAGAATGATATCTAAGATTTTTTTAAGACATGGATTTTATAAGTTCATATTTTAAAAAAAGTTTAGAGAGAAGTTAGAGAGAAAGATTCTAGAGTCCAAGAGTAAGTTCTTCTTCTTCATTTTCTTCTTTTGATTCTGCAGAACATCAAACCCTTCCACTATAGTTGAGTTGAGTTGCTAGATTGGATATTTGAGCTTCAGGAGCTTAGAATCTCAAGTCAAGAGTCATACAAAGTTTTCACGTTGTTTTTCCTCCTTACCGGGAGATTCAAGGTAAGGAGAGTTTGTTGATCGAAAAACGGTTAATGTATAATTGTTGTTTATTGTCTAGAATCATAATGGTGTAGTTGGAATTGTGTGAATTCATGAAATGATGAGTTGTTGAGTTTTTTGGTTCCTTAAAGGTGTTTGAGTAGAGTTTGATGATTATTGAATTGAGATGAATGCATGTTTTATTTTGTGTTGGAAATGGATCATATATGTTGTATATATGTTGAATGTTGCACTAAATGTTGGCTTGGCCGAGTGAATTGTAGGTTTGAGCTAATTTGAGGATTCTACCAAGAGCGAAAATCTTCATCATGCAGAGCGCACCTTCGTGACGCCAAGCCTGGCTAAAGTTAGGGATCCTCTGCCCTAATCAAGATAAGTGCGAGATTGATAGTGCTTGGTGTCGATCATTGAGGAGCTCTCTGATCTAGTCATGTTGAACGTGAAAATAAGAGGTGTTGGACATGATTGCTCGAGGAATTCTTTGACTTGGTGATTTTGGGTGCATACTGAGAGGCGTCAACGTAATTAAGTCAGTGACTCTCTGCCTGGACAACGTCGAGCACAAATTTTGTAGCGTTAAGTGTGAGCAAGGTAGAGGCTATCTACCTAAATGAGACCAAGTGTGGGTTTAACCACATCAAACGTGATTGACTCAGAAACTTTGTCTCATCCACGTCGAGCGCATGTAGACTGATGTTGAGCGTGAGCGAGCCCAAGGTTCTTTGCCTCAATGACACTAATCACACAGGGAGAATGGCATCGGGCATGATGTGTTGAATGAAAAACTAGTTGATATTTGACTAAGTGTTAAGAGGAATGTAGTATGTTTATTACTCATTTGATTTATGTTGTTGCATGATTATAGTTCATTATGCATTGATTAGGATGATGTATAATGATGTTTAATATTGCTTATGAATGAAAGTTGTTTTAAGTTTTTAAGTTGTAAGTTGATAGTTGCTTAAAGTTGATTAATTTGTTCAATTGTATAGACATGTGGTGATAAGATACATGTATAAGTTGAGATATAAAAACTAAAGAATAGTAAGTTATTTTGAAATTTTAAATATCCCATTGTGTAAATATCAATTGTGGTACTCTAAGAGGCCAAAGTTAAGAAGAATCTTTCAATAAGTAAGTTGACTTCTAAATAGATAATTATTTTTAAATTATCTTTAGGTTTTATGTGAAAATAATATAAGAATCAGGTCAAGGCATACTGATTATAAAGCAACAAAAAGTTGATGTGTATGGGATCAAGATCGAACCATACATGTATAAAGTGTCCAATTGGGTAAAATATAAAGTCAAGGAATAAAATCTTTAATTGATTGTTAAAAAGGTGTGCAATATTTAAAAGATAGTCAATGAGTTAAATCCATATGAGACAAAATCCAAAAAAAATCAATTTAAGTTGTTTTATGACATGTACAATATTTAAAGGGTAGTCTAAATTGTTTGGATCGATAGAAGTAGAATAGAAATCGAATACAAACAAGTGTAATTATGTATTAAAAAGACATATTTTTAAAAGATATTTATATAATTCAAAATAAGAAGATAAATATGTCATTTTAATTTTATTGGATTTTCCGATTTGTTTCTATCACTTCTTCCACCAAAATCTCTTCGCCTTGGAAGATATATATTTTTTTTATAATGTAGGCCCCACTAATATTTTCTCCTCTTATTTCTCAATTCTCACCCTTCCTAAACAACATAAAATTTACTTTTCTATTTACTTCTTTCTGGCTTACTCCACTTCTCTCTTTCCAAAAATCACCTTAAACAAACAAAAAAGTTATAGTTCCATGCATCAAGTATTCGACCCAATTAATAAAATAAATTTACACAATCAAATTTCTTATGTAAGAAGCCATCGTTATGCAACCAAAGGCTGCGAAGTCCAGAATTATCTCCAAAAATACTTTTGACTCTTTTCAACACCTCGTCCAGACAAGATTCGTGGTTTCAAATTTAATAACTCAATGTTTGAGGAGTTTGAATCTGGTTCAGCTTGTTGAACCATATTGAATGCAAAATCATGTGAAAAAGATCATATCGTATTGGTCTCGAGTTCCAAAGGAAATGCTTCTGTACCATCTTCACATTATTTTGCATTGTAAGATATTTTCTTAAAGGGATGGACAACAAAATTTCCTTCAGCCTGGGAATATCCTTCTCAGCCACCACCACAGAAAAAGCACTCCAGTCCAGAACTTCATTAAAAGGAAGCACAAAATTATCTGCAATGATAACAGGAACACACTCGTAGTATATGGCTTCAACGATCCTAGGGCTATTAACTTCATAGCCCATTGGACACAAACAATATTTACTTGATTTCATGTGCTGAATATAAGTCATCCTTCGGGAAACTCTCAGAGGTAAACGTTTGTAGATTTTCATGTCTTCATCTTTTTCACCACCCCAATACTGAAGAAGAATAGGACGCACTCTACCATGCATGCTTCCAGCAAAGAAAGCAAGGATTGGACGTAGCGATGGTCTATTCCCACCAAGATATCTAAGAGGTCTTCTTGGTGCTCGTATGGTAGTTTCTGGTAGAGAAACATCTCTTCCTGCAACAAAGATTCTTTCAGACAAATCAGCATTACATAGAGCTTTTATGGTGTTTCTTGTTAATTCCTCATGTTCAGTCACTGTGTAAGGACCCTGCAAAGATGAGTTTTTAACAAATTACACGAGGCATTAAAAATGACAATGACTTCAATGCAGTAAGGTTATAAATGTAATTGATCAAATTCCAACAGCACAGATAACACTGAATAGTTATTAAAAATGATAATTAGTTTGTAGTATACAAGATAACACAAATAACACAGAATATGTTGCAAAAGGGAGATCTGATAGTTAATCTCTCGATGAGCACAGTCTATACGATCTCAAACATGCATTAGCTTAGCTGCAGACTATGCAAGCTGCTTTATCGGTACACAATTTGCTTAAAGTCACCAATAACAGTTGTGAATGTTCACATGTGTATAAAAAAGAGATATATCGGAAAACTTCCATGATGAGATGCACACTGGCATACTCAACATGATGAGACTAGCATTATTGTATATTTCGAGGTAATAGAACACCAACGAGCAAGCATATGTTGTTTTAGGTTAAATAGAATTTAAGAAAGGGATTTGATCAGTTGCAGGAATGATGTGCCCTTACAAGGGGAAAGGGAATTGATCTCTATTGGAAGTAAACTATTTGAACACAACCCGTTAAATGCTGCATCAAATTTGTTTGTTTAATTAACTCTCTCTCCCTCTCCCTCTTTCTCGACGTGCAAAATTTTTGCAAAGTTTAAAAATATATGATAATTTATTATATAAATTCAAATTAATATAATATATATATATACATATATTTGTCAATTTAAATTAACGAAATAAAATATCAAATAATTTTTAAATTTTTAAAAAAATTATAAACTTAATCAATACATTAAAAATTTTAAATTTAACGGTTAGATTGTTAAAATTTAATATAAACAATGAATTATTAAGTGCAATAAATTTAACAAAATTTATTCTTGAAGTACATCCCTCCTCTCTCCCTGTATATATAGATGAAGGATCCACTTATTCTAAGAGTAAGTTTTGGTAAACTTATTTCATTCAATAACTCATATTCTACATCAAATTTCAAATATTCAATTGTTAAATTAAAATTTCTTGATATATAAATCAAGTCTACAAATTTTTAAAAATTTAAAAATCATATAATACTTAGTTATATAAATTCAAATCAACATATAACTTTTTTTTTTATTTATCAATTTGAATTAACGATATTAATAACTTTTTAATTTAAAGATTAAATTATTGAAATTTGATGTAGAATATAAATTATTAAGTGAAACATATATACATACATACATACATACATACATACATACATATATATATATATATATATATATATATATATATATATATTAAACGTGTGATATTATATATTCCACTATATCATATCACATGTTTAGCAGATACTTCTTTTTGTATATCATTGTTTAGTATTAAAATATTTTATTAAATACTAAATTGATAAAGTTAAAACTAATTTAAGAAAAAAATTCACAAAAGCAAAAATAATTAAGTTTTAGATGAACTAAGATAGTCAAACTCAAACTTTATTCTTTTTTTAAGCAAGACAATCTCAAGCTTAAACTAGTTTAAATAAATGACTCAAACTTAAAGCAACTAATTTTTTCCACTGCCAACCCTTAATTTCTAGTGCTCGCCATCGGCTTGGCTCATTACACCTCATGCGGGACTAAGGCATTAGGCATGGATTTTTCCAATTCTCTCTTTATTTTTTATTTATTTATTTATTTATTATTATTATTATTATCATTATTATTATTACTGTTATTATTATTATTATTATTATTAAATTGACAGTAAGGGAGGAAATGTAACGCACACTACCACGAGAAAACATATATGCAATGTAAAAACATATTTGCAAGCCATGTAAGCACAGATACACGAACATATTAAAAGTATCATGTGTTTGTGCGCCAATACCAGCCAAATATTTCATACCATAATTAGTTATTCATTTATCTATTTATCATGATCAATACCATCATCATCTAATATATGGGTACATCTTTTTGGATCAAAGACACTTCAAAGTTTTATTTGCTAAAGAATTTCATTTTCATTTTTCCATCTAATCAAAGCAAAGCAGGCAGATATATTAAAAAAAATGAATTAAAAATCCTAATACTCTGAAACAAGCATCTATCTTAGCATAATAAAATTATCGGAATCAATCAATTCAACAGAAAACAGACACAAGTCCCATACCCAATCATGGCAAGCAACAAGAAAATGGTCTGATCCATGTGTGCGATTCCAAAATGGATACCTTGCAGCAATCTTGTTCACATAGTCCCTAAGATAGATTGATAATGGTTTTAAATTATGTGACCCTGGCACATAGAGTGCCAACTCCATTTGGCGTGCACTGTATGGAAGGTAAAATAAGTGAGCCTTCTCAGGATCCTTGGTGACAAATTGCTTATTTTCCTCCATTAACTTCATAAACCATCCCTCAGAAGCATAAATTCCCCTAAGGGGTGGTTTGTGAAAAATGGGCCTTGATCCATCACGATATATATACACTTTAAGTATCGTTTCCATCAACTCATAGCTCCTGAAGTTGAGACACAATATTGTTTTCAAGGTGGTTTTATGATGCTATTCACATACCAAAGGTGCAGTACAATCCAAAAGACATAATCAGCACTCATCAGCAAGTACCAAGCTGTGTCAGATTCACAACGCAAGTCTAATCACAGACGAAAGAGTTGTGAAGAGCATAGGATGAAATGCTTACTGAGTCCAAGAACTATTTTCTTGAAAATGGGGAATTAATACTACTCTGTATTCGCACATGCATGATGCCATCAGAAAATTCATGAAACACACAAATTATGGCTAACAAGTTACACCACTACTTCCCTAAGTCTTCAATCTTCACTTAAAGCTAGAAAATTTAGTGGAAAAATGAAGTAACTGGATCCAACTGTTTACAGCCGCTTTAAAAGATACTAAAATTTTGGACATGGTCTCGAAACTATAATATTTACTGGACAAAGAGGTTGACCACAGTGACTACCTGAAAATCACCTCGTAAATTTCCCATTTTGAATATTTACTGGATAAAGAGGTAGACCATTTATGTGTTTTGACCTAGAAGCTTAAGCTTTTAGAATAGCTGGTATTAACTATTAAGCCTCTCTAACCGAGTATTTGGTTTAATGTTTCCAAAATACCAAACCGATGTTTGTTGCATCCAAATGCAAGTTGGGTTTCATCCGAGTGAATTCTTGTTGGCACAATATTAGGAGTTCCGAGAGAAGGAAAGGAAAGTTATTTAGGAAATTAGTTAGTTATAGGGGGTTAATGACATAAATAGGGGGACTGAATGGAAGAGATTCATTCTGTTATGTATTATTTGTAAATTGAGAACATTTGTGAAAGGAGAAATCCTTTGTGAAGGAAAAAAAAAACCTTGGCAAAGGATTATTGTCTTTTCTATACAATGGATAAATAACTTCTTTGGTTCAAAACACTCACCCTCAAAGCAAATCTTGCTTTGGGCTGAAGCAAGAATTCTTGATTTCCTGTTTCAAATGTGAGCATTGGAGAAATAAATGTGAATGTTACATTCTCAGTAACTAATGAGAGATGATTTTAAACTTCACTGACCTAAAGTTGGACTTTCGGGAGCGTGCGTGACATTGTTCAAAAGGCATTGTAGATGACTCTGGTGTTCAAAATGGGTTGATTTGATTGTGAAAGATCCTATCTAATCTAAGCTCTTTTCTTCTATGGTCCCTTCAAGCTTCAGGTGAGGTACATTTACACTCCATCTATTACTTTTAGAGTTGATTGATTTATATTTCTTAATAGTCTAATTATTTTTTAGCATGTTTTGTTGATGTCTTGTTTATGGTGGGAAAGTTAACAAGAAAAAAAGATAAATTGTGATTTATAACCATACAAACAATGTCCATTCTATTGTTTTTGAAATATTGGTCTTTGTAATTCAATTTATGTTCTTAATAGTCTAACTTATTTTAGTGTAAACAGAACAATTGATAGCAACAAGAGAAAAAACCTTGCAGATATATTTTCAATTGATAATTGAGCATTTTATCCAAGCAGGCTTGGATGAAGTTTATAAAGGAGAACACATTGGAACTCTCTCTCAAAGAAAGGGAGAAAAACTGTTATATCCCAATTTAATGAGAAATGCAAAAGGCACTATGACAAGAGTCAGCTGGGAAACAAGTGGAATAACCTTGAGATAAAAATGAGAAATATAGTACAGGTTGATTGCCCAAGAGACGTGTTTGGCATGCGATGGTGCAAAGAATACTATAGATGCACTAGATGAATGTTGGGAAAAAGTAGTTGATATGATATTTTTAATGTGAAGTTGTTTGTATGTTTTACATTCCTCTAGCGTAATATGTTGTGTTGATAAGATGTATTCTCATGAAAAAGAATTCTCACAATTATTTAGCTGCTTGTTATTGATGCAGAACATATGACAGGTACAACACTTATTTATTTTCTAAGCACACCCATTAGTACAACTCTTCTAACATATGATGTGTGTACAATATACTGCATATGAAACATCATATCCATATGCTAGTCTTTGGCTCTTCATCACCATGGCCTTGATAAACCTAGATTTGGTCAGCTAAGTAAAAGGGATGAACTAGAAATGTCACGAAGAAATGGTCATGTAAGTTAAAGGCATGGTTGTTGATACCTAGCTTCATTGAATTCTCCACATTTTCACAGTCCCCCAATAATTAATGGAAAAATAGGTAACATCCACTAAAATATATCAATATAACCTTAATATTTTCAGCAAATTCCTTAATTTTTTATTTTTTTTTTGTCAATCAGTACTTGAACTCCCATGACCCAAGTACTACAACTGTTTTTACAGCAACTAAACAAAACTCAAATGCAGATGCAACTCTACATATTGCATCAGCCAGAACTTCAATCTTTTTCACCTTTCAATTTTCACACCTGTACTTTCAACTATTGTTTTCCTAGGAAGTACTTAAACACATATGTTGGAATTTTGCACAAACCACAAAACTTGCTCCAGCACTAATACTAGTTAACCCACCTAAAGATTATTTGGGATTCCTTACAATCACTTGCAAATCACAGATGATGGTACCCATCATAATTTTCATCTATGCCCATAAACGGTGACCACTCAAATTTTCCATTAACAACCACATCCTTAATAATGCAGCTAATTCATAGGCAAAACGAAATCTTTTACCTAAATTTTCCGTATGAAGGACTTTCCTACATGTAAATATAACCTATCAACAAAACATATTACACCAAAGGAATATAAAACTTACAAATTCACATTAAAATCATCATACAACTGCTTTTTCTCCCACCATTCATTTGGTGGATCTACAGTATTTTTTGCACTATCCCATCCAAAACCTGTCTCTTCCACAAACAACTTATATTTGTCATTCTTAAATCCATCCTACTTATTTTTCAACTAATTCTTGTCAAATTGCCTTCTACTTTTCCTGTTAAAATAGGATATAACAGCTTTCCACTGTTTCTTTGAACAACTTTACAAATTCTCTTTTAAAGCTTCACACAAGTGTTCTAGGATAAAATGCTCACTTGTCTTCAAAGCCCATGTAGCCTTTGGCTTAAGAGCTTCTTTAACATGAAAGGGACATCTTCAATGTCTTTTCTCTTGTTGTTACTCATTGTTCTATTGCAAAAGAAATATTACAACTTAATTTTCTAAATTAAACATATTTCAAAAACAATCAATTAAATAATTAAAAACATGATCAAACGATAAGAGAACAATATTTCAAAACCAATGAAAAGAACTAAGTTTTGTGTGGTTATAAATCACAAGTTCTCTTCTGCCTTGTTAATTTTGCTAACCATGAACAAGACATCAATGACATTTATGAGCGATGCCAAAGCAAACCATTTTTTCCCTTCTAAAACTTAACCCATCAGGAAAAGTAAAATTGGCTTTTAAGTAAACAAATAAAGATGTATCTGCCTTAAATTATGTATAAATTAACATAAAAATACACTTTAGATTAAATTAAAGGTGGATATATTTGCTCATGCTCACTTTAATGTTTAAACGATCTTTTCCTTTAAATTTCCAATCCTCTAAATTTTCAGATAAATCAATTTACAACACCAGCAATTCATAACATAATTCCGTAGCAAGAAGGGGAATAAGTATGCACAGTCAAGAAAGTCTAAGTACCTTTCGAAAACAGAAATGTTCCTAAATATAGGAGCATAAAGATTGGGATCTTCACTAACTGAAGGGGCACCATCAATCTCTTTCTTTGCATACACAAGGGCCTCGTTAGGTGGCAACAACCATACGTGTCTCTGAGATATAGATAGATACCCAGCAAATTATCGGGGATGCCTCTCCTCATCATACTTAAAAAAGAAAGTAAATTCAAAGTCTCGCCAACTTCTACCTGCTTAGGAGCATGCCTGCGTGTGGATAAAGATGCTGCGACTTTCGTTGATTCAGCAAGATTTTTGTCCTTTCTACTCCCAGATACGGAACTCTTCCATTGAACTGGGGTTTCTAGTTTTACATTCTCTTGCTCAGCTGAGAATGATTGCACCAACTTGTTAGACTTATTAGGTGAAATAACAGAGTTAGTAAGAGTGAGGTGAACCTTTTGTAGGTAGCTATTAGAGGATTGGTGCGACGAAAAATCAGTTTGGTGATGAAAACTGAACGGTGTATTTGGTTGAACTAAGTAAGTATGCACAATCATCTGAAACCCAAAAGCAGATACAGCCAAAACAGCCACCAGAACAAAAAATCTTCGCCAATCGATTTTGTGCCCAAAACAACACCGCGATAACTCCCTCATCAGGATAAAAGCAGTTTGTTGAAAGACCCTCTTCATCTCATTTCTCAACACTTCCGCGAATAGCACCACAAATACCAAATTCTAGTTCCTATCTATTTCACTTGAATCAACAAACAAAATAAATTAATAACTGTGCGCAGAGAATTAATAAAAACCTTTTTTTCTAACATGCAGTAATTACTAAATGAATACGGTTACGAGAATATAACGTTTACCTAATTCAGACGGTGGATCTGAATCTGGTAAACTCCAACGCTGATCTCATAAATGAGAAAATTGACGGAAACTTCAAAGACGGGGAACAAAACAGTCTTCTCTGACAAGCTATTACGATTTTCAACGATGCTAATTGCCAAATCAAGGCAAGAACAATGGCTTCGTGTTCCATTCGCAGTCAACTTTTCGTTCCCCTAGTTTTTATATTAATTTTAAGAAATTACGAAGAACACATTACGAAAGTACTCTTTTGGAATGAAAGTTAAATTCTCTTACTAAATAAGGTGTACCCTTCCCGTTAGTGCTGAGTGGGGTAAACATATGTTTTATTCAGAACGAGATATTTTCTCTTCCCACAAGCATTATACTATGTTACCAAATATGGAGTGAGAAATAAGTGAAAGGATTATTTTGATCTTAATTATAAAAAACATGGATCTATCTTTAAATATATTAATTAATAAAAAATAATTTATCATAAGCTTATAAAAAATATGTATCTATCTTGAAGCAAATTAATTTATTCTAAAAATTTAAATATATTTATTAGTCTACTGACACTATAAATTATGTTTATTAATTAAAAAAGAAAATATTTCTTGGTTTATATATGTAATGTCATTTTTTGATTAATAATGGTGCGAATAATTATAAAAATTTATAATTTGAATAAAAGTGATTGAAATTTTTTATAGTTATAATTTTGTTTGATTTTAACTTTGTAATTTTTTTTTCTAAATTATAATTTTTATTATTTTTTAAAATTCCACTCCATAATTATTCATATCTTTAATTCAACTATTATGATATCATTTTTTTTATAAAAAAAAAAATCACAGAGATACAAAGTACCTCTTTTATGTTATACTAGTTAAAATAGTAACATTCAAAAATAAAATAGTATAATAAGAAACAACTATAATACCTCAATCTCATGCCAAATGGAGGCCATGAATGATGACAAGAAGTTCGGTACAAAATATACATGTTTGCTGTAAATCCAGGAAATCATGAGAAAATGGAAACCATACAAGGTTTATTTACTTTTTATTTTTATAAATAAAAAATACTTAGATATTTTGTATAACATAGATTGTTTTATTTCAATCATCTTTTGTTTTTCTATTTGATTGTTATAAAAAAAAAAATAATAAAATATTTAGTTTTAACTCCTCTACTTGTTAATTTGGCAAGATTTATGTCTTAGCAAATGTGTCCACCATGAGTTAAATCCTTGTTAATTGCATTAGCATTTAACGGACATTATCTGGCATCAGGGATTAAAAGCAATACACTACATAATATAAAGATTTAAATCTACGCTGTGAATATGTATTAATCTAACAATTTATATTATTTTTACATATATTAATATTTTTAGCATCTGAAATACATAACATAAATATTTATTATATATAACTAAAATTTATAATAAATTATATACAAATAAATATTATGTTTAAATATATAAATTATATTTAAATTTATATAATATATATTTTTAAATATATATATATTATATTTTAAGAAACAAATTTATCTCTTTAATTTTTTTATAATTCATATAAGAAATAAGTTTATAAAGTTTAAGGAAATTTATATACTTTTTTCTGAAACTAATTAATCCGACCTTAATAATCTCCTAAAGAACAAAATTTATTAGGATTTAAAAATTTCAAAGTTTAAAAATAAATAGTCAACTAATTACAATCAAGTATATATAAATAAATTAACAATTATTAATAAAAATACAGTAGAAACTCTTTTAAATTAATACTCGGTAAATTAATAAACTCTCTAAAATAATAAATTTGTCCGGTCTCGACTTGGGCCAATGTAAAAAATTGAAAAACTCGATAAAATAATAAAATAATAATTTTTCGGGAGATCCCTTTATAATTTTCGGTCTCAAGAAAATCATAAATTAATAATTCATAGAAACTGAAAAAAAATATACTTCAAAAATCATTATTGATTTCCAATGCATATGTACTTCAAAAGTCATTATGTATTGATTTTCAATGCATATGTACTTTAAAAGTTACTAATTTACGTTGAGTCTCAAAATTCGCTGCAACGTAATTCTAAGAGGCATAGATTAATTTGTCTTTTTGTTTGGTATGTACAGTATAATTACTTAAAATCTCTTTAAATTAATAATTATTAATTTATCGATAAATTAATAACTCTTTAAATTAATAAATTTCTTCGGTCCTGATATTATTAATTTAAAGAGTTTCTATTGTATGCAGGATTATAATTTATCTTAAATATAAAATCAAATCCTTTAATATTAAACACCAATGACGTGCAGTAGTGTTCTTGGAAAATTTTTTTTAATGAGATTTTTTAGAAGAAAAAAAATAATTTATTATCTAATTCGTTTTTTATTTATTATAATTATTTATGAATTAATTTTAATATTTTAAGATAAATTATAAATAAATAAAAATAATACTGCATTGTAGTATATTATTTATAATAAATCTAAATATAATTTATATGTTTTGACTTATATATATACGAAAATTTTAAATATAATTTATATATAATTTGTGCATTATACATGTTAAAATACTAGTAATTTATATTAAGCATGTAAAGTATCCAACAATCAACTCAATTCATATATGATTCAAAACCAAGTCAAACAATACATGCAACACCATATAAACTAAAATTACCAAATTTCACCTTGACACCCAAGAACACCAAACCCTTAACCTTTTAATCTGACTTCAACCACGACCTGTCTACATTTGATGAAACAATAACATTTTTCATTAATCAAACAACTAATTCATTCTAACTTCCCTTACCTCAAACCAAAGTAACTCAAGAACGAGGAGAATGAAAAGACAAGTTTTCAAGTTTCAAGTTCTCCAGCTCTACATCAGCCCTCGACTCTTTGATTCTCTACCTTTAATGCTTGAATCATTGCTTTGAGGATTCAAGAAAACCTCTAATGTCTCTGAGGAACTTAGAAGAAAGAATAAGTCAAAATATTTAGAGTTCCTCACTCAAATTTCTCTCTCTAAAGTCTCTAAGAAATTAAGTTTATGATGCTCAATTTTCACAAAAAATCTTGAATTTTTCTCTTAGAGTCAACTGGACAAAGGTCCTCACCACTTACTTAAACACAATGTTACAAAGAATGTTTTTATTTAATATGTAGGAATTAATATAATTTATATATTTAAAAATATAATTTTAATATAAATTTTAATTACATAAGTTTTATCCTTTTATATTAAATACTAACAATTATCTTTTAAAAAAATATTTTTTGATTTAATATAAAGATAAATATTTTAGCCACTTTTCATTAACAAAAGATATATTTTTCTATATGATAAGAAGATTTCTAACTTTTTATATATTTTAAATTCTATTTATCACATATATTTTGAAATAATTAAATTTAATATTTTTATCAATAATTAAAAAAATATTGTTAAAATATTTATTTATAGAAATTTTAAATAAATATAATTTTATATAATAAAAATATTTAACATATACTAAACTATTCTTTAAATCGCATCATTAGCTTTTTAAAAAAAATTGCATCATTAGTCCATTTAAATGTAACCAACATATATAAATGCAGCGCGTGGGATGTCTTGATCACGTTGGCCAATAAGAATCAACTATTCATGAAGATTGACCACACTAGCCAATAGGATCAAGCCATGTCAGAATGAAAGACACGTGTATCCGACAAATTGCAACAACACCGTCACCGCACTGGGGTAAGTTAAAAATACAAAATAAAGAAAATAAGAGCTCGCTAACACACAGGAAACCCAAAAAATAACCCCAACGAATCATCATCCTCTGAATTAAACTTGCTCGCGCATGGGAATCGATTGATCAGCCAGATCTGCGACTGTGTTCGATAGGGTATCTACTATTATCCGGTTAGTTCTTACGCAAGAGAAGTTGCAATTTGATAATTATCACTGCAATTTCAATTGCATATATAATTTTTTATTTTTTAGTTACCCTTCCCCAATAACAATGAATTTCAATGGGATTTTGTCCTATACTTTTACGATTTTTGTGTCGATGATTTAATTGAGAGTAGGTTTTGCCATTTAAAGGTGCTGCAGCTACTGCTGAGGGCACGACATTGAGTTTTCTTTCATTGGGGCAGTTGAATCAAGTGTGTCTTATGTTTTCGGCATATAATTTTTGTAATGCATTAGGGTTTAATTTTTTTCATCACCTGTGCGTCGGTGTTCTGTATGTTATTAGGCACTTCTTAATTCTTATGGGTTTGTTATCTAGTTGGTTCTGAAGATAAAATATTAGATAAGAAAGTGAGATGAAAATGCTCAGTGGGGGATCAGTGGACTAGATCATATAACAGAAGTACACATGTGGAGAGTATTTTTGGATCTAGGGTTTCACTTGTCTACGGAACTGTTTATGTTTGAAAGCCTTCAGACTTGCAGGCTGGGCTTGTTCATGTTATCATCACTTTGATGGGTGCAGTTTGCAATCACAGCTTGATGTGGTTGCACTGCCACCGTACCCAAGTTGTTATGGTTGCATCACGTGATTTTTTTGGTTATGTTCCCATTTGTCGTTCCTCAGAATCCTAAATTCCCAGGTCATCAGCACAATGCTTCGCATTGAAGCTATAATTTACTTTATATTCCTCATTCCAACTGGTAGCTTAGTGTTTGTTTGATTTATGGATTTTCTACTTTCCAATGCACTTTGAAAGGAAAGCCTACTCTCAAAAGGATTCATGTTCAGCAGAACCAAAAGTGAATTCAAATACGCCACCTCTTTGCTATGTGCCACTATCTGAAATTGGTAACTATGGCCAAAAGATAAAAGAAACTGTTGATTTGATATATGTCTTTTGTAACTTTAACTTAAATTTGGTGAATAATCCTTTTTGGCTATTTATTGGTCTAAATATTGTTAATTTAAGATAATGACTGACATTGTGATTAAACCAGTGACATGTCTAATCATTTATGTAATAAAGATGAGATGAATGTCCAGTTAGTGGTATTGAATTGTTGAGTGGTTACTTGAATCTTTGTATCAATGTCAGTCATAAGCTTGTAACATCTAGACATGGCAATTGATTACATAATAGAATTCAAATAATTTCTTCAATAAAGTCTCAATTGAATTCTTCATGGATATGGTTCCAGATAGGCTGCCTTTATCTCTGGTAACATCAAAGTCATCAGTTTGCCCCAGCCATGGCTGCACCATTTTTCTCAACGCCTTTTCAGCCTTATGTTTATCAGGTACTTGTATCAATTCTTGCCCTTGACAATATTATTTTAACTTGCCTTGGCTCAAATCAACTGCTTTTTGTTAATCTTGATTTTGGAACAGCTTAGTTGAGTTTGAATACTAAATTTGTTTGATGCATCAATAACTTCTCAAATCTCAAATAGGATTGTAATTTGTGAATTTGGTGCCGGAAGATTGATTTTTTTCTTGTTTACATTATTGCTAAGCTTTTGCAATTGAGGTTTATGTTTAGTTAGTTTGATGTGATAGCTTCTCTGTATGATCATCAAATTTTAGTTTGAGTTCAGGATCATGATAATTTTCTCCTTTGTTCCTCGCCTCCATGTAACTTACATATCTCCTCTGGAATGTGAAAAATGATGTTGTCCAAAAAAACTTTTCTTTGGTATTTGACGTGGTTTTGAGGAATGTTAAAATTGATAAATAGGTATGCTTTTATTATCATCTGTACTATCTGTGAAATAGCTTTGAATCTTTAGAGTGGGGGATACCTGGATAAGGAGGTAAGGAGAAGTTAATCTAAAAAAAAAAAGATGCTAGAAAATGGAAAAGGCTGACTAGCAATCCTAATGCATGAATTTTAGAAAAAGGAAAGTTTCTCAGTATATTTATTCATATGTTTTCTTGTGAGCATTATGTATCATTGTATCAAGGGTGTCTCAATGCCCCTCAACTTTTTATGGGGGTAGGATTCCATCATAAAAAGAAATGCTGGGCATAATGTTCATTTGCTCTTAACAAATATCCTTATAATTTTCTTTTCGTGATTTTTTTTTTCATATAATGCTTTTTAGAGCCTGCAAGATGCAATTATACCTTTTCAGATTTTAGGGGGTGAAGCTCAAGTGGTTCAGGTATATGTGACCATCCTTTGTTTAAAAAAATGTCAATTTTTTTAAACCTTCTTTTATATCATCTCTTTGACTGTGTAATATATTATTCATTTGGTTCTTGCAACACAGATAATGTTGAAGCCACAAGAAAAAATCATTGCAAAGCCTGGTAAGTTGTTAGATGTTAGACACTTCAAATGAAAATTTTGTGCTATCATTTTGAATTGTAAACATCAATTATATGCTCTAATTAGTTAATATGAACTGATCTAAACATGATTTTTATAGATAATAATCAATATTACAACATGAGGGTTGTAGCCTTGTGACTTGGATGTCATGGGTTCAAATTGTGGAAACACCTCCCTGCTCCCCCCCAAAAAAAAAAGAAAGAAAGAAAGAAAAATAAAAGAGAGTTCCATGCACTTGGCTGCCCTTTTCATTAATATTGTAATGGATGCTTAGGTCAATTATGTGTCAGGATGTTTATCAGTTTACCATGGTGCCAAATATTGGTCATGACTCTTCAGCATCAAATGTGGATGAAATAACCTATTATTTGGTTTGCAAATATTTAATGATCATTTTGGACTGAATCTATTTTTTTAGTTTGCTCAAAATATTTGAGGAAGTACTTGAAAAATGTAAGATTGGAAAGGCGTTCCAAAAAATGAATAATGAGTTCCTGATTATCAAGTGAGTTTAAATCATGCTGAATGAAAAAAAATGTTCTGCTACAAAAAAAAAAAAAATGGTTAAAGCTTGTGAATGTAAGTTTTTTTTTCAATACCATTTGAGTTGAACTCAACTGGTTCCCAAACACACCCTAAATTGTTTTATGACCTGTTGGCTCACAAGCTTGCTGGTAAGCACATTTTTTTACTATTTTAGCTTCTCTATTTCTTATATGGAGAAGTATCTTCATCAAGTAGGTGTTAAGTGAAGTAAATTTTAGTGAGAAATATTGTAATGAGTCTATGACTTTACACAAAGAATCTTTAGCCAACATACCTTCACATGCCAGCCACCTCTTTACGTGGACAAAATTTTAGGATTTGGCCTTTTCTTGTAAAAAAATACATTTTTAGAAAGTAGAAGGTAAAGTTATAACTTTTAGTTAAAAATAATAAAATAAATTTTATCGACAATCTTGATAACAATTTTTAATCGATGACTTTAAGTTGATACATCACTTAGGAAAAAGCCAAATCCAAAAAAAAAAAT